GCATTCGTCTTTCCAGACTCGGGACTCTTTCCCTTCTGATTTAGAGTGGCCAAGAGACCTACCGTTGATATTACGTTTAAAGTCTGCAGGTGTTTTTTACAAGCGAGCGCTTGGGTACAATTATCTCAAGGTGATCAAAAATTTCATTCCCTGCTGCGTTAAAAATCCTAAAGCTTGAACGTCTAAGGTCATAGATGGGTTAGATTGGATTTGGATCGTCTCGGCACGTCTAAACGTCGTCCATCGCTAGACGTCTAAGGTTGTTGATGGGATGGATGAGGGTAAGATCATCTCGACACGTCTACACTGTGTCTAGTGCTAGACGTCTAAGGTCGTAAATAGAGAAGATAGGGAATAGATCATCTAGACACGTCTACACTTTGTCTAGCGCTAGACGTCTAAGTACATAGACAGGTTAGACAATAAATAGATCGTCTCGGGTCGTCTGTTTCTCGACGAAGCCTAGTCGTAGATGTGAAAAGATGTCTACTAGACCTCTTTTGGTCATCTACGTCTAGTCGTCTAAAAACTTAGACCAGCTAGACGGGCATTAGACGATCTATCGAAATCTATAGACGTCTATTTTCTCTTAGGGGTGGCACCCGAGACCAAAAAGGTCTCAGCCTCCGAAGTCGCCTTGGATGCTGTTTGCGGCGTTGTGTTTTTTAATGCCAAGACGTGTCTGGGGGTCATGAGGGTGTGGGGGATACACCCAGGAGCAGTGCCTGACTGCGTTTATTTCATTTTGGCTTCATCTGCGCTGAAAAAAAAAATATTAAAATAATCGTCGAAAGTCGATTCCGTGTAAGGTTGGATGGGTTGGTTGGCCAACTGGTTGGCCAACTTCGCTTACGTGGCTCCGAGCCCGAAGACTCCGGGCACAGAGGCCCCGGGCAACGGCCCCCCGGTAACGACCTATCATCCCGGTGCTGGCGCGCGGCGAGGTCCTGCCCCAACAGCTGCTGGAGCGCCTCAGAGTTGTGCTGCTGAACGAGCACACTGGCCTAGGCCCACCACTGGCGGTATACGGTATACGACCTGTATGTCTAGCAATCCACTGATGACGAACTTCCATTGACTGGTGCACGCTCTGTGATGCCAGATCGGTGTTGATTAACGCTAGTCCTCCATCCGTGGCCATCTCCTTGATTCTGTCATGAAAGGCTGGGTCAGCGAAGTTCCACCCAAACTCACCCTCTAGAGGACAAACAAAGTCCCAAGTATTGATGTGATTTGCCCTCAAATGTTTGGTTCTCAGGCACCGGTCCTGGTGCTCATCCACACCGCCAGCTAGATATATGGCCCGAGGAGCCACATTCTCAAAATACGCTGCTTTGGAGACGTATTCTGCGGCCTTTGGCGTGCCGTCAGGCAGGCAGCTGAAACGCCGTAAACTAACAGTAACGGCTTTGAACACAGCAGGTATTGTGTTCTGGCCCAACACGCATCAACTGCCGATCAACACACCATTGTAGCATGTGAGCCGCTGGAGAAGTGGCATCAAGCTTGGCCACAAATATGCAAATAGCCCTATTAGCATGCGTGCCAGATGGAACATTGGTCAGCATCCATCGCAATGTTGTCACTGTGTGCCAAATCCGGGTGGCCCTGTTCTCTTGGACGTTTGGCCCAGAGCCAAAAATATGGCTAGTGTAGTTCCGAATGATGTTTGCTAGCCTAGTGGTGGTGTGCCTTGCATCCTCAGCACTGGGGCACGGCCAAATGAAAACAAAAATAAGAGACAACAAACTAAGATGATTTCTGCCGCTTCATTGGGGAAGGCAGGGAAACATCTGGAGGGTCCCCTGTCTAGAGGGTCCCCCCTGAATATT